CTCCATGAAGGTCTCTTCCATAGTCAACTACTGTGTCAGGCCCCAGGCCGGATATCCAAGTCTGTTTCTTGTTCAGGTAGAGTTCCAGTCTTTGAGCTTCTTGTCTATCTTATTCTCAGGGATTATTTTGGAAGGTGAAAAACCAGTGTTTTCACCATTTGTTCAGGTGTGAGTCTTTAGACACCATGACCTTTGACTCTTAGAGGAAATAGGCATTTCCTTGTTCTGAGTCAAAAAGCTAACATTCAGTGGTTACGTGCCATGAGTTAGATGTGTTGTATACTGTGTGTTTTATGTACGTTTTCACTACATTTTCTGCATTTTACAAATAAGGAAAGAACTCTTGAACCGTTAGCTAGATAACTTGCTGAGACTTTGTAGTTAGTAAAATGAATGTAAATTGTTTAATGCTAAGTCCATATTCTTTCCATTATACCTAACTGTTCACCATACTGTTTATGCTTTTGGAGTCTGGGGAAGGAAGTACACCAGGTTTCCAGATCTGTGACGGTATTTTGGCCTTGTGTCCTTTTAGGCATTTGCTTAGCTTACCTTTTTATCCTCCTTGATGTGTGAGGATTTGACCAAAGAGGACAGGTAGAGCTGGAAGGATTTGAGACTGTTAAGGATTGATGGTTCTTACTGATATTATTGATTCCTGTATCCAGATTTGACAGAAAACCCTGCTGAACCAACTCTGCCTGGCCTATACCTCCTCCAGCAACTGCCAGACCAGGTCAAGGTGAAGATGGAGAACACAAGTGTGGTGTTGTCTATGAACAGTCAAAAGAGGTGAGGCTGCACCTGTGCCTGTGTCACAGTGATAACGTGCGTTGTCTGCTAGGTCTCCATTACAGTCTTAGTATCTTTTTTGAGCTTCTCTGTGGGGAGGAGGGAGGAATGGGACCAGGTCTCTCTGATGTAGACTCTTTATCTCCGGTTCAGGCACCTGACTTGGACCCTGAAGCTGCTGCACTTCCTGTGCCACCGTGATGAGGACCAGCCACCCCTTCGCAGCTTCACAGCCAGATATGATATGGCACAGATGAGCACTGAGCTCATACTGGAAGGTTCATGGAAGGGGTTACTGTTACTAAAGAGAAGGGAGGACCAGCATTCTGTGTTTATGCCCAGCATGGTTCCGTAATTTAATATCATTGTAACTGGGGTAGGGAAGGAGGGGCCATAATGAGAGAAAATGACCCTAACTTACAGGTGTTGATAACGATTTATTCATCTTCTTGCCTGTATCTGTCTGTCTCCTAGTTTTATCTTGTGTCTTCCCTTTGTCTTCCCCTCATCCATTCTTTGGCTTCTTATAGATGGGCTGTTGCTGTCCCAGAGTCGCCAGCGGATTGTCTGCCTCAACTCCCTCAAGGCTAATGTCCAGGTGTGCTGCCCACACTACCAAGAATCTCTCTGCTCTCTCCACATTGTTGCATTATGAGTTATGGGAGTTAAACCTTGGGGGTCTTCTCATCTCCAGGTAACCACCATTGACCTCTCAGCTTCTCTCGTTTTGAACACTTGTATCATTCATTACCGACACCAGGAATTTTCTCATTGGCTGCTTATGCTAGCATTGGAGACCCAAGGAGCTAGTTCATCTGATCTTAAACAAAGGAAAAAAAGGTGAAGTGTTTTTGGGGTTTTTTTTTGGGGGGGGGGATGGTTTTTTGTTTGTTTTTCAAGATAACCATGTGTAGCCTTGGCTGTCCTGAAACTCGCTCTGTAGACCAGGTTGGCCTCAGAGATCCGCCTGCCTCTGCCTCCCAAGTGCTGGGATTAAAGGCCT